AATTGATTGTTTCACAGCTCGGGAGGCTGGAAGAGACCAAGGGGTCGGTAGGGTTGGTGACTCGAGAGGGCTGTGAGGAAAGAATCTGCCCGTGTTTCTTCATATCAACTTTCCTCTGCATATTACTCCTCTTTACAAGGACATCAGTCCAGTTGGATGAGGGGCCCACCCTGCTCTGGTAGGACCTCATCTGAACTAATTACATCTGCAATGACTTTATTTCCAAATAAGGTCCCATTCTGAGATACTGGGGATGAGGAATTTAACATATTAATTTGGGGGGACACAATTCAACCCTCCTGCCCTGCTTGGATGAAGGCCATGCGAGCTGAAGGACTCAGTCAGCTAGGGGAAAACCTGACTTCAGGGTGTTAAAGGAAAGGCATGACTGCTGGGAGCAAGTCAGGAGAGAGGTCATATACGGAGAAAAGTCCCGTAGAAGGCAAGACAGGATGGCATTGAGTGACAGGTGGAGGGATTCACTTGGGCATGAGAGGAGACATTTTCCTTATTGTCACAAGGATGCGGGAAGGAAAAAGGGATGAGTTGAAATGTGAAGTGAATCTGCAGATGTGGAGGAGGGAAGTTGAGGAAGTTCATTTCAGAGGGCTCCTGCTTTCTTTGTGGAGCAGGTGGGGAGACTGCCTACGGAGGTTAACAGCAGGGTTTAAGATTGGGGCACGGAAGACGGACAGGCAATAAAACCAGAGACGTTGGAAAACGTGGCGAAAGTTTGAAACATCCAATGTGTATAAACTGCAGCAGCCTGCTGTGTCTAGAATAGGCCCCATTCAATGTAGCATTGCAGAAGATAATCTACTCTCCTTTTAATTAGGAAAATAGGAGAACAGGAAGGTGAGATGGCCAGGGAACTCCAGAGGGTTGCCTGACAGCAACAAGGATCTAGATGGCATTGGTGACCGTGAGTTTGCAGTGGCACCGTCTGCAGGGTGTGCGGTTTTGCCAGCCATGCTCAATAGCTGGGCGATTGATGCAGAGTAAGTAAACAGTTGAGCTCATCCAAGGCTGGGCTTTGGCCAGGGCAATGCATGAAAAGGACAAACGGCAAGGAGGTTGAGTATATTGGCAAGAGGAGGGTGAAGTGGGGAAGCTCAGGGGTTCAGTGGGCAGAGAGGGAAGTGGGCATGTGAGGAGGCTGTGGCTATTTCTGCTGAAGAGGCCTGCTCATGGCCCTTGCTTTTGGAGCACATGGCTGTTGCTGCTTCCTGGAGGAAGACACGCTGTCAGATGTGGCATACTAATGAGCTGCAGGCTAACAGGCTCCCCAGCTGGTCTCCCTCTTCTGCAGTGGTCCTGACTGGTCCCAGCTGGGCAATTCAGCAATCTGTGCTCAGTGCTGCCACAACTCTCAGAGCATGCTCTGGGGACACACACCCCTGGGAAAGGATGAGGTGGGTACCAGCTGCCTTCCTAGTGGCGTGTCGATGTATCCCTGGGTCAGTCTGTTCATTTCTCTGTTATTTTAAAATGCTGTATGGGCTGACTCTGTTTACATCTTGGATTTTATTACTGTAATCTTCTAAGACTACCAACCTTCCTTTAGCTGCCATATTTCAAATAAAAGCTATGGATATTATTATAAATATTATTGATATTACTATTCTATACATCTACTAATATTATTAGCAGTCAACTTGAAACTCTAAGTTACCATATTCACTTCAGTATCTTCATATACAAATAATAGAGAAAAAAACCATTAATGTTTTACAGGGGTGGTGACACACTACTATTATTCCTAGTACAAAATGGTCAACATTTAAAAAATATATACTAAATATTGTCAGAAGCAATGGGAGCTATTATACCTTGTTGATGAGAATATCAATTGATACAACCACTTTGGAAACAGTTTGGTATTTTCTGTTAAAGCTGAAAACAAAGCGGGCAAGGTGCTATGAGCCTGTAGTCCCAGCTACTCAGGAGGCTGAGGACAGAGAATCCCTTGAGGCAACCTGGACAACACAAAGAAACAAGGAAGGCAGGAAGGCAGGAAGGCAGGAAGGGATGGATGGAAACCTATCATCCAGCAATTCCATATAAACACAACAGAAACAGATAAAGATCTGTGTAGCATTATTATTCATAATGGGCTAGTACTGGAAACAACACAATTGTCCATGAACATTATTAATAGAATGGAAAAATGCTGGCATATCCATACAGTGGAATACCATACAGCAATGCAAATTACAAACTACAGCTACAGGCAATAACATAGATGTATTGCTCAAACATAATGCTGAGTGGGAGAAGCCCACACAAAAGAACTTATGCTGTGATCCATTTATCCAAAGTTTAAAAACAGGGGAAGTCACTTTATTGTATAGGAGTGCCAAGTGACATAGTAAAGCACAGAGAAAACTAAGGAGGGAATGACCAGAAGAGTCCAGATAGTCACCTGTGGGCAGGCCCACCCTCAACAGAAAACTGGCACATTCAGTAATTGAGGACATATAAATATACTTTAGACACTGCTTTGCTTATATACAAATAAAAATCTGCAATATATGTCATATGGAATTATTCTTTTCCTTTGACATGACTTCAAAGTACATATTATCTGATTCTTATCATGAGTTTAAAACAAAGGATCAATGTCTGACATTCTTCCAAATAATAAATTGACAGGATTCCTTGGAGCATTACAAAGAAGTTTTTTGTGGGGCTTAAGGTAAAAGTACAGATGGAGAATTGCATGTTATGGGCCTAATATTGTATTGTATTATAAAATTGTAAATTGTAAAATTATAAATTAAACTGACAAGCTGTTAAATAAAAGATGTCCCATCCTCCTACTTGGACAAATATCTCTTCATAGTGACCTGAGAAACCACGTTGGATCTTAGAATTCTTGGACTGCTTGGATCTTCCTGCTAGAACATGTGCCACAGGAAGAAGCTTCCCCTAGATCCAGCCATCCACCCTCATGCCCCAGCCCTGTTCCATCCCATAACCCAAGGGCCTTGGTGCTCATATATATCACTCTTGAGCCCTAAAGTCTAAACTTCACCCGTGGCCTTTTACAAATATCTGCCTCCAGGTTCCCCTCAGGAAGAAGGATGTAAAGACGAGCCCACAAAGACCAGGAAGTAAGTTTGGAATCATTTGAACAGGAAGTCCCAATGTCCTGGTCCTTGGCACGGGGTCTCGAAAGGGAGACATGGGTCTCAGGTGGGCGTGGTCTCTTGGTCCCACAGACCTCTTTCCCCTTCAGAAAGTGCATGGCTGGAGGAAAGATGGAAGCCCAAAAGCACAAGGCCCAACAGAGTACCCGGTGCATGCGGATAAGGGTAGTACCTCCTTTATGGGAAAGAAAGAGGTCACATTGGAAAGGGCACTTGGAAAGCTTCTGGAGTCCTGGCAGTACTCTATGTCTTGACCTGCGTGGCTGTTAAATTTATGACAATTTATTAAGCTATACATTCATTTTATACAGTTTTCTATATGTGTGTTATATTTCCCAGTAAAGAATTAATGATGTGTGTGTATATGTGTGTGTGTGTGTGTATATATATATATATATATATAAAATTTCTGGTACTGTAGTTTATGGTATCCCCATAGACAAATCAGCTCTGAGAGGTTGCCTTACAAGCGCAGACACCTTGGGCAGTTAAAATGCCTCAAGGTGTGAGTACCTAAAGAAGCAATAGACAGGACGCTGGAAACGCAGTAACTCTCCCTTCTGGTTCTCCACCCCGTGTGGGGCCAAGATACTGGGGAAACCACACATGGGTTCAGGCAGAGCAAATGAGTCATGGGCCCGTGTCCTCTTGCCTAGCCACTGCAAGTGCCTCAGAGGAAAATTCCTTTTTGCCCCTCCTAGCCAAGACTATAAACACTGTGTTTATCAAACTGAAATTACAGGAGGCTGTTCCCATCCTGGTAGAAGCGAAAGGAGACCAACTCCCAATTATCCTGTTTGGAAAAGAGTTCTAGGAAGACTTCCTCCTAAGGGCAGCTGCATAGGTTCATTAAATTGTTTGCTGAGCTTCTATTATGTGCCAGGCACAATTCTTATTTTTCTGCTTCCCCTTTTAAAGCAACTTCTTACATTATTCTTGATAGGAAAACACCGTCCTTTTACAAAGATTCACATTACCAATTCTCAAAAAGATATTCATGTGCCCTGTGTGGTTTAAATATGAGGGTTTTTCTAAGAATATACATCCCAACTATAACCTACAAATGCATACACATACACACACACATACCACCTCAAAACAGGCTTCCAGCTGCAAGATGTTGAAAGAGAAGTGAAAAATTGGCCAGTACTAACTCACCGAAAGCCCAGTCCATGTTTTTCCCAAAAAAATCAAATTCTGGGCTTTGCATCTAAGCTATTTAAAAGCCACATTTCCAAAACACTAGTTTTTCTCCTTTTCTGGAAACAAGAAAAGCAGATGGCTCCAGCGACCTTCGCAAGCTGCTGGTAAGAGGTAGAGTCAGCCACATCTTGTGGCTTCAAAATGATAAAAGCAGTAACATATTAAGTTGGTTTAAAGGGGGATGGTGAGGCCATAGGGATGGGAGAGTAGAAAACAATCAGTGAAATCGATGACCATACTAAAACTGTAGGTTACAGGCAAGGAAATTTCACTCTCACCTCTACTATCCATACAAAACACCTGGCAAACATCTACCCATCTCTCAAGACTCCATTCAAGATTGACCTTCTTCCTTTGTGCCCTCACCGGATCCACTGCACATTTGACCCGAAATGATGTAACATTTTATTGTGCGGTATTTTTGTTTGTTCAGTGAGACTGTGGGATCCTTGAGGACATTACTATAGTTTATGCGTCTTTGAAGTTCCAACTAAAGCATAGTAAGAACCCCACAAATGCTTTCTTTGATTGCATGAATGAATGGATGATGGATTCCATTCACGAGACTATGGATTTGGCTTTTCCAACTGCTCTGATGCAATCCCTAAATGATGAAAAGCATCTCAATTTTTTTCAGAGTTTACCAACCTTTCCATCTCTATCTCCTGTTTTCAGATTCAGTAAGCTGTGAGGTCCGTAATGTCAGACACTGGCAAACATCACGTGTTCTTCAAGTAGAGTTATGAAAACGAAGAAACTGGTCGGCAGAGTAAAACGTCGGAATTGTCCTTTCCAAGATCCAGAGCCGCAACATTCCTTGGGGGAAAATGTGGACAAGGGTGAGTACTGAGAGAAAAAAACAGACAATTTGTGATTCCCCTTTTTCCAGTTTGCTCAGCCCCTGCAATAATAATACAAATAGTGGGGAGTTTTTTGCTGGTTTTTTTTTTTTTTTTTTGGTTTGTTTTTGCTTTTGTTTTTGTTTTGATCATACATACCTGCAACTAACATTTGGGGAAAATACTGTTTAGACTGCCAGATTTTGCTCTGTTAGATGAATTTTTTACATGGATACACTGATGCCCACAGGGCATCCTCTTCCATCCTGAAATCTCTGGGGAAGCAGTCTTCTGGGATGCAGATTGATTATTCCAATTAGCATAATGGTGCCTGAGCAAGCCTGGAAGTTATACCCACTGAACTACTCATTCAGAAGCTGATCGCCCAGGTTTGGAAATAGCCAGTTCTTCGGTGCCTTGTTTCTCTGTTTGCCAGTCACCTTTAAACCATTCAACTTCCATTCGGCCATTCCTCAAGAAAATCAACTTGGCCTGGGGTACAGTGTACGATTAAAATAATCAATTTTTCTATCTAACCAAGGCTTCCTAAAGGTTTTATGAAAATTCATAGAAGAAATGATGTGTAATTTTACCTATTAGTTGGCCTCTAAAGGAGGTAGGCATAGTCGCATGGCATAGTGGCAATGAGGGTCACAAAGATCTGAGTTTTGGTCCTTGCTTTTCTGTTTAGTAGTAGAGTTGACCTTAAGCCAGTGACCTGACCCTTTTGAATCTCTGTTTCTGCGTTTATAAAATGGTGACAGGAAGATTGTTCAGAGGATGAAATGAGAAAATGCACATAGAGTAATTCGTGCTTCAAAAAAAAAAAAAAGGTGAATTCCCTTATCTGTTGTGATTGATCAACTGTTTTCTGTATCTCAGAGAATCAATCATCAACTGCACACAAATGAAAAAGCTCTGGGCACCACATCAAGCCAAGGACAGCCCCATCTCCTTTCTGGGGAAAGGTTCCAAGTTAAATATAACGAGAAATGTTTTCTTTAAATAATTTGATAAGCAACAAAAAAATTTCCCTGGAAGGCATTAAATACAAGTTTGATTGTCATATCACAGTGATTTTTTTAAATTATACTTTAAGTTCTAGGGTACATGTGCACAACATGCAGATTGGTTACATAATTATACATGTACCATGTTGATTTGCTGCACCCAACAACTTGTCATTTACATTAGGTATTTCTCCTAATGCTATCCCTTCCCCAGGTCCCCACCCCCCAGCAGACCCCGGTGTGTGATATTGACCGCCCTGTGTCCATGTGTTCTCGTTGTTCAACTCCCACCTATGAGTGAGGACATGTGGTGTTTGGTTTTCTGTCCTTGTGATAGTTTGCTTAGAATGATGGTTTCCAGCTTCATCCATGTCCCTGCAAAGGACATTAACTCATCCAATTTTATGGCTGTATAGTATTCCACGGTGTATATGTGCCACATTTTCTTAATCCAGACTATCACTGATGGACATTTGGGGTGGCTCCAAGTCTTTGCTATTGTGAAGAGTGCTGCAATAAACATATGTGTGCATGTGTCTTTATAGTAGCATGATTTATAATCCTTTGGGTATATACCCAGTAATGGGATCACTGGGTATTTCTAGTTCTAGATCCTTGAGGAATTGCCACACTGTCTTCCACAATGGTTGAACTAATTTACACTTCCAACAACAGTGCAAAAGCATTCCCATTTCTCCACATCCTCTCCAGCATCTGTTGTTTCCTGACTTTTTAAGGATCGCCATTCTAACTGGTATGAAAGGTATCTCATTGTCATTTTGATTTGCATTTCTCTGATGACCAGTGATGATGAGCATTTTTTCATGTCTGTTGGCTGCGTAAATGTCTTCTTTTGAGAAGTGTCTGTTCATATCCTTTGCCCACTTTTTGATGAGGTTGTTTATTTCTTATAAATTTGTTTAAGTTATTTGTAGATTCTGGATATTAGCCCTTTGTCAGATGGGTAGACTGCAAAGATTTTCTCCCATTCTGTAGGTTGCCTGTTCACTCTGATGATAGTTTCTTTTGCTGTGCAGAAGCTCTTTAGTTTAATTAGATCCCATTTGACTATTTTGGCTTTTGTTCCCATTGCTTTTGGTGTTTCAGTCGTGGTCTTTGCCCACGTCTATGTTCTGAATGGTATTGCCTAGGTTTTCTTCTAGAGTTTTTATGGTGTTTAAGTCTTTAATCCATCCTGAGTTAATTTTTGTATATGGTGTAAGGAAGGGATCCAGTTTCAGCTTTCTGCTTTCTACATACAACTAGCCAGTTTTCCCAGCACAATTCATTAAAGAGGGAATCCTTTCCATATTGCTTGTTTTTGTCAGGTTTGTCAAAGATCAGATGGTTGTAGATGTATGTTGTTATTTTTGAGGCCTCTGTTCTGTTCCACTGGTTTAAATATCTGTTTTGGTACCAGTACCATGCTGCTTTGGTTACTATAGCCTTATAGTATAGTTTGAAGTCAGGTAGCATCATGCCTCCAGCTTTGTTCTTTTTGCTTAGGATTGTCTTGGCAATGCGGGCTCTTTTTTGATACTATATGAAATTTAAAGTAGTTGTTTCCAATTCTGTGAAGAAAGTCAGTGGTAGCTTGATGGGGATGGCATTGAATCTATAAATTACCTTGCGCAGAATGGCCGTTTTCATGACATTGATTCTTCCTATCCATGAGCATGGAATATTCTTCCATTTGTTTGTATCCTCTTTTATTTAGTTGAGCAGTGGTTTGTAGTTCTCCTTGAAGAGGTCCTTCACATCCCTTGTAAGTTGAATTCCCAGGTATTTTGTTCTCTTTATAGTAATTGTGAATGGGAGTTCACTCATGATTTGGCTCTCTGTTTGTCTATTATTGGTGTATAGGAATGCTTGTGATTTTTGCACATTGATTTTGTATCCTGAGATTTGCTGAAGTTGCTTATCAGCTTAAGGAGATTTTGGGTAGAGATGATGAGGTTTTCTAAATATACAATCATGTCATACACAAACAGAGACAATTCCTGTTTTCCTAATTGAATACCCTTTATTTCTTTCTCTTACCTGATTTCCCTAGCCAGAACTTCCAACACTATGTTGAACAGGAGTGATGAGAGAGGGCATCCTTGTGTTGTGCCAGTTTTCAAAGGGAATGCTTCCAGTTTTTGCCCATTCAGTATGATATTGGCTGTGGGTTTGTCATAAATAGCTCTTATTATTTTGAGATACATCCCATCAATACCTAGTTTATTGAGAGTTTTTAGCATGAAGGGCTGTTGAATTTTGTCAAAGGGCTTTTCTGCATCTATTGAGATAATCATGTGGGTTTTGTCATTGGCTCCATTTATGTGATGGATTACATTTATTGATTTGCATATGTTGAACCAGCCTTGCATCCCAGGGATGAAGCTGACTTGATCATGGTGGATAAGCTTTTTGATGTGCTGCTGGATTCAGTTTGCCAGTATTTTACTGAAGATTTTTACATCAATGTTCATCAGGGATATTGGCCTAAAATTCTCTTTTTTTGTTGTCTCTCTACCAGACTTTGGTATCAGGATGATGCTAGCCTTATAAAATGAGTTAGGGAGGATTTCCCCCTTTTCTATTGACTGAAATAGTTTCAGAAGGGATGGTACCAGCTCCTCTTTGTACCTCTGATAGAATTTGGCTGTGAATCTTTCTGGTCCTGGCCTTTTTTTGGTTGGTAGGCTATTAATTATTGCCTCAATTTAAGAGCCTGTTATTGGTCTATTCAGAGATTCAACTTCTTCCTGGTTTAGTCTTGGTTGGATGTATGTGTCCAGGAATTTATCCATTTCTTCTAGATTTTCTAGTTTATTTGTGTAGAGGCATTTACAGTATTCTCTGGTGGTAGTTTGTATTTCTGTGGGTTTGGTGGTGATATACCCTTTACCATTTTTTATTGTGTCTATTTGATTCTTCTCTCTTTTCTTCTTTATTAGTCTTACTAGCAGTCTATCTATTTTGTTGATCTTTTCAGAGGTGTTTATAGTATTCTCTGATGGTAGTTTGTGTTTCTGTGGGATCAGTGGTGATATCCCCTTTATCATTTTTTATTGCGTCTATTTGATTTTTCTCTCTTTTCTTCTTTATTAGTCTTGCTAGCAGTCTATTTATTTTGTTGATCTTTTCAAAAAACCAGCTCCTGGATTCATTGATTTTTTTGAAGGGTTTCTTGTGTCTTTATCTCCTTCAGTTCTGCTCTGATCTTAGTTATTTCTTGCCTTCTGCTAGCTGTTGAATTTCTTACTCTTGCTTCCCTAGTTCTTTTGTGATGTTGGAGTGTCGATTTTAGATCTTTCCTGCTTTCTCTTGTGGGCATTTAGTGATATAAATTTCCCTCTACACTGCTTTAAATGTGTCCCAGAGATTCTGGTATGTTGTGTCTTTGTTCTCATTGGTTTCAAAGAACATCTTCATTTCTGCCTTCATTTCGTTACTTACCCAGCAGTCATTCAGGAGTGGTTGTTCAGCTTCCATGTAGTTGTGTAGTTTTGAGTGGCTTTGTTAATCCTGAGTTCTAATTTGATTGTACTGTAGTCTGAGAGACGGTTTGTTGTGATTTCTGTTCTTTTACATTTGCTGAGGAGTGTTTTACTACCAATTATGTGGTCAATTTTACAATAAGCATGATGTGGTGCTTGGAAGAATGTATATTCTGTTGATTTGGGGTGTACAGTTCTGTAGACGTCTATTAGGTCCACTTGGTCCAGAGCTGAGTTCAAGTCCTGGATATCCTTGTTAACCTTCTGTCTCGTTGATCTGTCTAATATTGACAGTGGGGTGTTAAAGTCTCCCATTATTATTGTATGGGGGTCTAAGTCTCTGTAGGTCTCTAAGGACTTGCTTTATGAATCTGGGTGCTCCTGTGTTGGGTGTATATATATTTAGGATAGCTAGCTCTTCTTGGTGAATAGATCCCTTTACCATTATGTAGTGGTCTTCTTTGTCCTTTTTGATCTTTGTT